ATTATAAGATTCCGAAATATATATACGTGAAAAAATTGCATTTTTATGATCGTGAACAGGGCATCACTCGCGAAAACACCACTCATAAAGTGAAGCAACTCTCATCGAATCTTGTGAACCAAGGTCACCCGTTGCTCCTTGAAGCAAATGACTTCTGCTCAAGCCACTACTACCATCAGTATTTTAGGAAAATATTTGGGTCGAACTAATCGCATGACAAATATTAATATAAAACAGAACAAATTAATAAATAAAACACGTCATTCTGTTGCGATTCGTTCATATTACAAGCAAAATTTGCACGCGTGCCATACTTCGGCTAATCATTGCTGCATTTTGAGTCATTCGATCTCAATGAGTAGGAGCAAAGTTTAACCCTTTTGGCCGGGATTTATTTTCACTGAGAAAGAAGTCTTCCTATTGTGGGACGGGGCGGTTGCAATGGCGGGGCAACGGCGCGTCCAAAGCAAAATCCGCAAAGAAAAAGTTAATTTAAGCGACTTCTTCCGGTGCGTAGTGGAGATATTTCGTCGCACTGGAGATGCAGCTTTCTGAGCCCCTTTTTTCCTTAGCCGAAGTATAGAACGGCGCAAAAGTGGCAAGCAATGAAGTACGAATGAAACGCACAGCGTGTTGCTGGTATTGCAGAAATTGGAGTTGGCGTCACAGTCGCATTCACTATGGGATTTACTGCCGCTCCATTCATTGCACCACGGTTGCGCTCAGCTGCAACAAAACCGAGTGACGAATCATGAAGTAGAACCTCGGTCGACGATCGACCATGACGTTCAGAGTAACAAATAAGGCATACTCGCAGAGCGAATTCTTTCGAAGTTGAAGGTTAATCTGTCAACAATGAATTTTGACTTGTTTTTGTTTGTTAACTGCTGTTTTTGGCCGCAGTTCGCCTTGCGAATGTTTCACAAGAATGCTGGGTTGTGAACAAAACTTTCGCCCCAGACGGGACTAACCCGCACCTCTTGCTTACCGGGCAAGTGCGCTACAAGTTACGCTACCGAAGCACAAACGGTGTTAAGGATAAAGGATAAAGCATTTGCCGTTGATCAATCCCTTTTTGGGATGCGGCACGCATTCTACTTCCATTTGTACATTCGTAGTGGCGTTTGAATGCGATGTGGCCTATACAATGACTTGCGGGGGCCAGCCGATGTACAAGTCAGTGTTTTTATCCTCCCAGACAAGTCTGGTACCAATTAACCCCGATGAAGGCTTGGTTGGCCCGGGCGACTCACGACCCAGGATTTGATCCCCGGACCGCTCGCGTGGTAAGCGTGCCACTTGCCACTACACCACTTCCGCCCCGAACGTTGTTAACACACAAAACAAGTCAAAATACACTGCTAAAGCTTTCAGGCTCGCGGTCGGTGCTGACAAGCTATGTAAGTACACCATGAAAATTTGTCAACAATGTTTCCTCTAGCGCCCACAATTAACAAGGAGCGCATTTGAACAACCATTAATGGCTTACAACTTGGCTGCTCTAATCGTTTTCAAGCATATTTTCCCACACGCAGTAAGAGAAAGTGGAACAAAACAACGAAAATGGTGGTTACTGCAAATCGGCTTTAATGCTGGGAGTTTCTCGAGGAAAGGCGTGGAATTCGCTGTTCACTGCTTCCTCTTTTTTGGAAAACTAGACACAAGGACGTAGTGGATTAAGAACGGGAACGCTATGCGGAGAACCCTTTCGAAATTCCTTTCAATCCCAAATGCGAAAACTGTTATCGCGAATACCCAAATTCTTCAAGCTAAGATTACAAAATTAGGGTCAGCCACGTACCAGAAACTGGCTGAAATGAGGAAGGAAGAGGTGTCGGGGTAGCGGGTGCCATTGGCATTGAAGAGGGACGAGACATCTTCGGTTGCTGTGATGTTGGAGGCAGTGGTGCTGGAATTGGTTTTAGATATCGTTCTTGAATGCAGAAATCACCTTTAGTTTCTTGGGCAAAACTCCATGGGTCACAAGTGCAACATGTTCACGAACCTGGAGCTGCTTCCCGAGGGCTAGGGCGCAAATTCTGGTGAAGTGAGAACATTAGCTGCTTCCGTTGCTGGATTGCTGGGTAAACCCGTTGAAATCAAGAGAGGTGTTCGAACATCGGCGGTGGGCTCCTCCTGCAACTGTGTAGTTCTTGTATGTTATCCATGAAAATCTCGACTCTCGAAGTATTGAATCAATTTCTGTTTGTAGTGCACAAGACAAAAATGGCTTCCCTTTAATGGGTTGTTTTCATGATTCGCGCCAGTGCGAAGGCTGAGCACAAAGAGCGCTCATGAAGAATCATTAAGTAGAACCATCAACCCAACGCCAACTATGCTCTTTCTAACTATGCTCCAGCGTTCTATTGTGTTGCGTGATTGAGAGGGCCGGCTTCAGGTTTTTTAATCACCTCTGCTTGCGCAAAACATCACGCGCCAGTATTCTATACTGCCTGCACGTTACGCACCGGTGCAAACCATGGAAGCAACCTTAGAAAAACACTACGTTCACACACGAATCAAAAGGGCTTATGAACCTGCCATTAAAGGTACGACAAACAAAGACGATTTTGAACGAGTGCGATAAATAGCACATCCTACCTTTTGTAGTTGAGGAGCTACCCCATCATCAGAAATGTCCGAGTAACCTGCAGGAGATTTCGAAGTTTCCTCAAGCTTGATGTCAGACTCCGTTGATGTGGACGCAGAATTTTCGTTCTGCAACAAGCATAACATTTAAAAGCGCTAATTCTTACATCTGCCATTGGTATTATGGCAATAAAAGAGCAAAACTTGTAAAACGACGAGATTAATGTAATTCAGGCAACGGATGAAGTACATATTGAATAACTGTCAAGAACTTCCAAGTTCTACACTAGAGGTCACGGATTACTGTCCGAAGCATCCCATTTTCATTTGTTTGGCTTCTGAAGGATCTGTTCAATCGAAAAACCGGAAAGGTGAAAGCAGTCACATCAAGTTCACAATCAAAGCCATCTGTATGACTTCAGGACTTGACCTACCTAAGTGGGTCTATCATGATGAGATCTGAGACCAACGTGAAACAGTATGTCATGTCTTTCTGAACCGATAACACTGCAGGAATTGGAACCTTATCAGCAAATAAATTATCCTTTACAGAAGTCACCCGAGAATTGTTAGTGTTTGGATGTGCAAAATTGGAACTTCCTTTAGTATTCACGTTTTGAAAGCAGAGAATCCCGAATATTAGTCGAAAATCCTATTTTAAAAGGCTTAAACAGATCGATCGCCAGCATTTACCACGCATACCACGACAACAAGAATGATGAGCCACTCACCTTCACGGGTGTTTCTTCTAACGGTGTCGATGGACGGGGTGATTCACTATGGGCCAGTCCATCGACGTCAGTCTCGACAGAACGCCGACGGAATGCGGAAATATCGGTCTGACAACATATGGCTTCGTACATCACCTGTAAAGAGAAATTGCTTAGAATAGGCCAACACTGATTGGACTACACAAAGAAGCCTACCGCCTTCTTGGCATGCACCGTAGCTTTATGGTACTCCATTTCTTCACTGCGAGAATATCGGTGCTGGCATCCGTCTACGGTACAGATATGCATGGATTTTCTGCAAATAAAATGAGTAAACTGGAAACGATGGTTCGTTCCGAATCGCTTGCGACTCTTTAGAGTAAAAAAACATAAACAATGTTTGATGCTACAATAGAAGTGCTATGTGATACATAGTGACACTTAGTATTCACAAAATGTTGTTTGGAAAAAACTAGTCGATGGACTGTGTCTTGCATTGAAGTTTCCA